GATTTTCAACGGTTTTTTCATATGCCCAATTTTTGGTGGTCTACACATATTTGGGAACTTTTGAGGTGGATAAAAATTAATGATTTTTGAGAGGTTTTGGGCCCTTTTCGGTTGTGTCCTTTAGTGCAAACAGCTAAATTTGTAAGATTTTGCCTTGTTTTTTAAGACGCCAAATGTCCTGGCCCAGAAGTAACATTTTATATAATAATAATAATAATAGTTTATTGATCCAACAGAATGTACATTCCAATTACAGGATCAAAATAAGAAGAAAAGGACATAAAATACATATCACTACCTACAAAGAACAAAAACACGAATCGTGTTTTTGTTCATCGTTTCCATACCAAGAAGATCCAAGAAGAAGAACTACCTACAAAAAAAAACAATACAAAAGAGCAAAATTTCTAGCATTATTCAGGCGGTCTATATAGTATAGTCTTAATTTTATTACCAAAATCTTTTAAAGACATATTAAATACATCAACATGTTTGTGTAAAAAATTATAATTTGAGCACATTAACAACAGAAAAGAATGCATATGTTGCCTTGAATTCGAAAAAGGWTTATTGAAACATACCGAAATTTTACTGTTTACACGTTGGACATTAAAACACAAACACGAGAGCAAGAAAGAACAGTTAATGACATTATTAACAAGCTTGTACAAAAACACCTGACAATGAACACTTCTACGAAGAAAAAGAGGTTCCAACTCAAATTCAGTTAAAAGCTTAGTGTAACGATAATGCCTTGAAGGCCATGTGCCATGTTTGAATTTATAAAGATATTTACAAAACTTTTTCTGAACGTTTTCAATCATCTCACTATATACATTATAAGACGAACACCAGATAACACTATTATACTATTAAATGTTTAAAAAATTCTATCTGTCAAAATTTTTTGACATTTGACATTTTTTATGTCTATTTAATAACACTGATCACCTTGTATATGTTTTTTTTTACAATTATTTAGTAAAGGTATAAAAATTTTGTCAATAAAAGCCACAAATAACGTTAAACAGAGTTACAGTTTAAAATATAGCTTCCTTGTTTCCTCTTTTAATAGTCTATAGCAAAAAAACTTGGAAAATTATTTTTCCAACAGGAATAAATAGAGTCTAAAGTGCAAAATTMAAACTCTCATAACTTTGAAATTTTTATAGATAYATTTTTTTTTWAATTTTTTATATGATCCTGGTACCTTACCCTACATTGCATTTGACTTTGGGGCGCGAGTTCTGGCGCACTCTGTATGTGRATATCATGTAGAATGTGACTCCTTCAACTTTTCGAATCGCGATATCTCAGGAATGGTGATTCTTAGAAAAAAAGTATAAAGACCATTTTTGTAGATAATTTTAAGATCTATAATTTTTGTCTGGGCTACTTTTTTGATAAAACTTGCCGTTTCCGAAAAAAAATTAAAAAACGTCAAATTTTGACRTTTGACCCTCATATATAGCAATTTTTTGATTTTATGTCAATATTTACACCAAATAACTTTGTAAAGTATTCTCACTACRATCACTAAACAGCAATTATTTTTATTCAGCATTCATATTAGCATCTTTAACACCATTTATCAACTTTTACAGAACATGTTTACTATTAAAAAAAATATTGTTCATAGGCGTCGTATGAAATAATATTTCAAAACCACTGTTATTCTTTAAAAAATTACAATAAGTAGGTACTCATACATAAGATGAAGAATGATGAACAAATTATTAAATTGTTAACGCATGAAAAGAATTTTCAAAAATGATATTTCCTAACAATCCTTGTCTTCAAAATTTTTAGAGAAAAAAAGTACGTCCATGTTTTTTTTTTATCTTAACCAAGTGTCTTTTCTGTCACTGTCAGTTCGCCACCAGATATGGAATAAGCTATATCTTGCATTCTACATGGCATTAGTTGACATTTGAATTTTTTTGACGTCCCGCCAAATTCAAAATTTTTTGATACACACAATAAATTGTGTCTTTTGATGGATTTCTGAAAATTTTTGAAAAAAAAGAAAAAGCGTTTGACAAAAAAAAATTTAATCAAAAATTTTCTCAATAATCTACATGTTCTATAGTAAATCGCTGCCAATCACCCCCATGGAAATAATGCCCCACCACCTCTAGCCCATATGGGTAAGAGTTATTTGTCTGGGGAATGCTTATGCAAAGTCCGGTTTTAGCATTAACAATATCACCATGATAACCAATATGCCAATATTGCGTCTCTTTTTCTGGACCCACATCTTGAGCTGTAATTATTTTTGACCCATATGTCGTCCCTTCCATATCCAAAACTTTGCTGTAATAAAAAAAAACCAATAAAATATAATTACAATTAAAAAAAAATACTTACAACTCGTTGGATTTGGTAACAATCTTGACTTTTCCATGATGTAAATAATCCGGGGCCCACAATTGACTTCCAATCTTGGAAGGGCGTTTAATACTGACATAACGCTCATCGGCCTGTAAAACGCTAGAGGACATGCGGTTTCTGAAATAAACGTAGCCATCTTGTTTCTGAAAAAAATAGACACCAAAATCACACTTTTTTCAGAGGAAATTGAAAAAATTGCTACTGAAACAGGCGAGTTTCAAATCAAATATAATATACAGGGTGCGCTAGAACACGAGCCCAGAGAAGGTAAGATACCAGAAAAAAAAATGTATTTACAAAAATTTTGAAGTTATGCACATGTCAAAATTTATCAAAAAACAATTTTTCTATGTTCCTGGTACCGAAAATTTTCGATTTTGACACTATAAATTTGAAAAAATTCAATTTTATAATTTTTTTTAACAAAATGCACAAAATTTAAGAAAATGGAAAAAAGCTCTTACCCCACTCATCCTAAATTTTTCTTTGAATTTTTTTAGAGGAAATTGAAAAAATCGCTACTGAAATTCTCAAACGCTTAAAACAGCCGAATTTCAAAGAAGGTAAGATACCAGGAACGTAAAAAAA